CATATATATATATATATAATTATAATAAAATTATATTTTTGTCAATAAAAATAAAGATAAAACATACATTTGTCTCTGAAGAAGAAGATTTTGTATTATATTATATATGGAGAAAAAAAAGTAAATGCAAATTCTAGTTGATATGTTTAAATTTGTAACTGCAAAACTGAAATAGGAGGAAGAAAAAAATCTTCTTAATTTTAAATTTTATATTAAAAATAACTAAATTATATATGTCGAATATTTATTTATATCATCAATTTGTCATCACATACTAAATTGTTCACGTGTCAAAACTTGCAGGTTATAAAACCAAGGGCCAAAGCTAAAGCTATTAAGTTAACATGTTTGGTAAAAAGAGTGAAACCTTAAAACTAAGATGTCAGGGAAAGAAAGTATCTCAAATAATAAAATTTAATCGTACAAAATTCTATTGACACACAAGATTCTTTAAGCTTTTTGTCTTCTCTGTGTTTTTTCTGCATTGCAATTGTTTATAAATTCTAGTAGGACTTACAAAAGTGGTGAAATGATAATACCATCATATTAAAAATTATCAAAAGACAACTATGAATTATGATAAAATTGATATTTTAAGCAATTAAGATACTTATGTCATATCTAGATACAATTTATAAATAATTGTCAATCTATCTTTTGCCTCTAGTTAAAGATGAGACAATTCTTGATGTTTTCTTCAAATTTTCAAATGTGGAAGAACTTATAAGTAAGGTGATTATTAGACACAAATACCATTATGGAGCTTATGAAATCAAGGTTATCTAAAGCTGATCTAAAAATTCTCTTTGACCAAAGAAGACTACACACTTATTTTTGTTCAAATAAACTCATTCACCAACTTATAATTCCCTTTAAAGCCTTACAAAACACATATTTTTCACATAAAAATGTTTCACTCCTATGGCCAGCATATTTTGGTGTTTGTGATATTTTATCTTCTTGGTGGTTCCTTTTATTAGATTTTCTTTACGGTTTATTTACAAGTTGTAGGATAATTGAGGGAATGAAAAGGCTCTAAAGACATAAAATTTATTTTTGATATGATTATGAAGTTCTATTTTTTTCTTTCCTCTCTAAAACTGAACTTGTAAAAAGACTATTTGAGGAATAACCTTATGTTTATTAGTTTTTGTTTTGTTTATAAATTTGTTCTTGTAAATATAAGGAGTTTGTTTATATATTTCAATTAGAGATTATGTATATAAAAAATTACATTGGTTTCTCATATTGGTATTAGGTTTTTGCTTACGCATGGTAATGCCTTTAGATTTAATGAACTACACTAGAAATCATGAAAATGTGAAGTTGACATATCATGAATGTGATAGAAGACGAGAGACTTTGGCACAGGAAATAAAATTTTATATTAAGATCATGAGTTCATGACACTGGTTCAAATTTCATTATTGAATCCATCCTCATTGTTTGAATATATTTGATCAGCAAAATCAGCTCAATAAGGTCGAAAACCAGATGGGATATCATTTAAACATTAATATGTGTGAGAGCCTCATAGTTTAAGTATCATATTGAGTTTGTTATTCTACTTAATGTGAAACTCCTTTACCGTATAGACTTCATTTCACAAGAAAAAGTTTCAAGCTATTCCAATGAATAACCAATTTCTCCTGTTTACAAAGATTAATAATTACAATTTGATTATACTTTGCGCAGATAAGTGTCCTTCTGTGTAGTTTGTACTATGTATCAGTTGCACCATCTTACATGACACAAGCTAATAATGCAATACCTTCTTACATGACCTGCATTTTCCCATCATTGCAAGAATCAGCACATACTAGTTCAAGCATCCTACCTCCAAATCTTTTGGCTGCATTACACAATTACACATGATTTTGAATCAGCACATACATTTGTTCCTGTATAAGCCTTTGTATTATAATAGTGATTTTGATTTGGAATTCGTAATAAAATATGTATGCAATGAGTTAGTTAAATCAATTGTTGAATCAAAAGTTCTCATCCTATTAACTCAAATTTCATAAAAATCTATATTTAAGATGTTGAGTTTAATGTAATATATATTTTGAAATTGGATGATATTTACTTAGTCTAAGAGTAAGTTTAACCATCAATTCTAGAGAAATCTAATGGTTTGAATTAGTGAGTAGATCTAAACTATTAGATTTCTCTAAAATTAATGACTAAGATGTTGAGTAAGTTTTTTAAACTTACTTTTGAAGTAAGTGAATCTCTTCTCTTTTGAAATATATGAAAATTCAAGACACATCATGACCGGTCAAATCCACTAAGACAAGTCAAATGTCGGGCATAAAGATGAGGCATATACAACGTTGATCATAATCATATAATCCACCAAGTCAAACAAAAGATAGGGTTGACCGGACAAGGCCTAGTCAACAATGTTAAGGTTCCATGAGTAGTCCAACATGTATTTAAACAATTCCCGAGATAATGAGGTAGGCGATGTGAGACTTACTTCCCAACATGCCCCCTCCACATAAGTCTGTCGGATCAAGCGAATGGTTACCTTTGACCCATAACTAAATGACATCTTTTGGCTCATAACAATCGGAATGAAGTTGGGCTCTGGCTCTAATATCATGTTAAGGTTCCATCTCAAAACCAATTGACAATGAGAGGAGTAGCCCAACAGGTATTTAAATCATTCCCGAGACAATGAGGTAGACGATGTGTGACTTACTTCTCAACAAACAATATACTGGACCACAAACCCCTGCCACAAGATTGACACGTCGCATAAATAGCACAAACTATGTTCCAGAGGTGACATACCACATGAACAATACAGACTCATGCCACAAGGCTTGTACCATTTCATACCATACGGCTACGATATACCTAATATACGGCGCCTACGACAAATAGGACATGTTACAAGATGATTCATCCTTGATAAAGCAATGTACGAGTCAGAGTACGGATATACCAGAGTCGCTCGACACAGATAAAACATTATGTGCTTGTTTGGAGCTGGTTCAACCTGATAAATGATTGACCATGCCAACAACATATACTAGAGAAAATTTCATGTTCACATCCTCTATAAATTGAGAAGACCCGTCATAATGAAGTTAACACCTAATATTCTCTCGTATGTTCTTACATCTTATTTTCTCTCTACACATATACTGATTTGAGTGTCAGAATAACTTTTGAATTACCTGTGCTTCCAAACAACACTCAACTTACATTTTCCCCTGGTACTCCAACTAAACAACCTCTATGCTAAAGAACAATAGTTATAGAATGATGTAATTTATAGTTGATGAAAATTTAGTAATGACTAAGAATTTTTATAATTTAACATTTTACAAATACATCTTTTCTTATATATCAAAAGTACTTATTTGTATGTAAATTACTTTTAACTTAAAAGTTCAGAGTGTAATATTTGCATGAACTTAAACACGAATCTTGGATAATCTAGTAAAAACTTAGTGCATTTTTTTTATGTAACTTAAAATCTTTAACCTTCACTTGAGCCATTGAGCGATTTAGTTGGTGTTGAAGGGGCTGCAAACCTAGCAGAAAAGCCAAGACGTGCAGATTCTTCATCATCCTCCACCCAATTACCATCATCAAAGTTCTGAGAATAGCTTAATGGGTCATAACCACCAATGGCTTTGTATGTGCTCCTTCGCTTTAGACATGGAACCTTCAATTTGGGACACCCCCAACACGAAGACAAGCCTTTTCTATGTGCTTTGATTCTATGAGATGATTTTTTCTCCATGACTTTGGGCATGAGATGAAACTTCTGTGTCAAAGGCCTTTTCTCATTCACCACCACTTCTCTTTTGCTAGTGATTATGAGTGTGTGGTAGAGAATAATATAACACGAAATGCAATGGTCAAAAGTGTTAACGCTTTTGAGTTTGAATTAATGATGTGAGTCAGATAATTTAATTTTGGTGGTCTTCGATTGATTTGTACAGAATCTCAAAATGCATTTTCTGTATATATTATTTATAATTAGAATGAATATCCAATTTTGGGTGCTCCAAAAAAAAATTAAATTAATACTCAAAGATCGAAAATGTAAGTTAAAATAATTTATGATGGAATCATAAAAATAATAATAAAAACTACTTTAATTCACATTACATTTTTTTCATAGATCACTTCAGGGTATTACTATAATAAATTAAATTTGAACCAGTTGCTAATATCATTTAATGCATATAAAATATTATATTTGTATTTATTGTTCTCTTAATTCCCCCCTATTTAAACATAAACTAAAAAAAATTATTCATTTAGAATTTTATTTGTTACTTTTAAAATTGTTAAATTATACTCTTCTCCATTTCATTTTTCACTTTATCACACTAGTAAAAATTAAACTCTATAATAATGATGATGGCAAGTATATAATGGATAAATAAGTAATTAATCATGTCTTAAAATTATAATTAACTATGAGAAATTGTCTTAAACGTTTAGATTTAATAGTTAAATAGGAAAAGATATGAAAAAAGCAACACAAACGGAGTGAAGTATAATGATCATCTATCTATTAATTGATTTAATTCTCTAACTAAATATAGATTAGATTATTATTGTTATATAAGAGCATATTAAAAACCATATAAAATAAAACATATTAGAAGAAATGATTCATCATTCATCTAATAATAGTTCTTATATTAAAAAAATAAGAATCTAAGAATAAATAATTTTTTTATACAATCATATAATTTAAATTAAAATATGGATTTAATCATCCATATTAATTAATTTCTTTAGAATAACAACGGTTTTCTTAAATCACTTTTTTATATGTGCTGTGAGATGAAACAGGGATGCCTCCAAAACACAAGGCCGAAAAGCAGTTAACGAAAAATGAAAATCCCCAAGCTCTACAAGGAATAAAAAACTAAACAAAAATCGTGGACAAACGTAAGCCAAGCTTATAAAAATTATAAAATTGATTAACTATAATAAATTTTTAATAATTAAATTTTAGAGGCCTACTCCAGATATTTTGTGTCTTCATGAACTCAACCGTATTTTTCTTTGATTCTTTCTTTCACATTCTTCTCTCCCTTTCCTTCTTTTATATATAAACTCGTATTTCACTTCAGATCACGATTTCAAACTTCCACCATTCATTTTCTCTTGCAATGGTTTCCGGTTCTCAGTTTCACGGCGAGAACCGCGATTCTCGCCTTGAAGTTCGTTTCTGACCTGCATTCCAATAATCCCTTTCACGAAATCGGTTACGGTGTTTTATTTTGCCATGGCTAGGGATTTTCATCTTCTGAATTCGCTTGGTTGCTGATAAACTGCGGGAAATGAAATCAAAATAGTGAACAAGAGAGAAATTCCAAATAAAACTGCTGGTAATCTCATTACTGTAACATTAGTTTAGTAAACTATTGTAATATTTCTTGTTTTTCAGTTTCTTTTTAGAATTCTAGATTGTCTGTTTAGCACAATCGTGGCATCACCATTTCTCATATCAGGCATACACAGTTTTTTTCTCGTAGTACACTTAATTGTGTATTTTCATATCATTTAGGTTATTCTTTACGGGAATAGTGGAGCGTTTGGATCTGGCGTCTCAGGTAACTAAGAAACTAACAGTTTCTCATACATATCCTATATATAGTTATTTTTTAGTTATGGATTGTCTTTCTTTACTATTTTTCAATTGCACTTTATGGTACAATTTTCAGTATTTTGTTTCGTTCTTTTGATCATATAAGTTTAAACATCAATTTTACTGTCAAATTCTCTCGCTTTTGTTCCCTTTCTTATTGCCATGTCCTTTTATTTGTCCTCACCAAGATGTAAATCAGGTGGTGAGTTTTCCCTCTTGTTTCACTCGTGTTTTCATAATTAGTGATATTTGGTGATGGATTTTAGGTTAAAAGTAAATTATACTGGTTTCTTTGTTTCGTGTGCTGATATGCATATTGCCACTTTGAGCTTTTTCGTTATTTTGGTTATCATACATACAAATGACGAGGATAAAATATGCTAAAAAAATAAAGCCAAGGGGAAGTAATAGTTAGTACACAAAAAGGAACAATTAATGTGTAGAGCCATCAGATGTCATGTGAATTATGCTAAAAAAGTGTTTATTTGACTGCTCTAGGGTTAAATCTAATGGATGGTAATTAATTTGATTTCATATATGTTCTATTCTTTATCTTGCACTACCCTTAAAAGAGTGCAGACATGATATTGAGCTATATCTTGCGGTTCACATGTCTAATGTAATTTTGTTAAAAAGTTTACAGAAAATAGCTTAATAGCAATGTGCTAATATAAACCATGGGATATTTGAATAGTAGATACTTAAGCAATGTCTGTTTGTTTTTAAACTGACATTATTTGTGAAATGTGTAGTTTTTTATTATCGAAGGCAAAGAAAAGGCAATGATGAAATATTTTATGCCCTCAATTTTGTAGATTTTCTTTTTCCTGGCAGCATTCTGGGAATTGGGATGTAGGAAATTTTGTTTGTAGATGCATGAGTTGTTTCATTCCCTGTTCTAGCTGTGTTACTTTTGATCTCCCAAAGTTGTATTTAATACAAGTAAATAACTCCTAGTGTTCCATCATGCAATATTGTCCTCTACTTTTTTAATTTCAATTTCAGTGTTTTAAAATTAGCCTTCAACCTCCTAATAGGGTGATTGAGTCTTTCCCAACAGGCTGGAATTTGCCACCAAGTGGTTAGTTTTGCATCATCCCTTAAAGTCGTGGTTTCTATTTTGAGACTCGCCATTCTCTTTTACACATTTTGACTCCGAGGATGTATTCCTCCCACTTTTTAGCCACCAGAGTTGCTATTTTCGCTTAATTTCCTTTATATGAGGATTTCTCCCCATTATATTTTCTATTCTCACTTTATGATATTTTGTAATGAATAGTAAATTATCTTCATTATGCGAGGCCAAAAAAAACATTATGATTATGCACATATTTCCTATTTCCAACCAAACCCTAGTTCAAATTACCTTGTGTGTGTTTATATGAATAATGGAAATGCTATGTGCATGCACATCTCTAAATTTCTTTGCTTCCTACACTTCCTCTTCATAATGGATTTTGTGGTTATTGATTCCATAACCCCTTTACAACTTTGAAAATTAGCATTTTAATTGTCTTTTATTATCAACATTGAGCCTCTAAGTTTTAATGATGGTCTTGGGTATGCTTATTGAGCATATTCAAGAGTTGGTGCCACGTCACATATGTAGTCCTAGTCAGAGGATTGAGAAAGGAAATAAATGGAAAGCTAGAGATGCAGAGACAAGAATTGGAAGCACAAGACTTTCGATCAAGTAAAAGACAAGATATATTGCTTGAATGTATAGTAGGAGTAACTCTAATTCTAACTTAGAGGTGAAAATTAGAAATTATATCATGCCACAAGCTACAGGGTTTAAGTTACCTTGGTCCATTGTTGTGAAATATAAGTTGTAAATCCCAAGGTTCTAGTAGGGTTGAAGAAATAGGATTGTGTCGGTTGTTATTTGTTTTAGAAAACGATTAGTGTAGCTTACGTGGAAAGTTGATCACACTACTATAAGATTTGCAATATTGTATGAAATTGAATGTTGAACATTAGAAAGCCCATAAGATAAAATTATGAATAAATGCATTAGAGAGAAAGTTGAGGTAACACCTGTTGTAGAAAAAAGTGTAGAATCTTGCATTAAGTGGTTTGGACATGTTTGGAAAAGACCTACAAAAACCTTGTTATGAAGCCTCAGTAGCAAGAATTGATCAGATTCTAATGGTTTGAGATAGTGGGAAACTTAGAAAAACTATAGGCGAAACAATTAAGAATAATTTAGACTTAAATGTTTTGTCTATAATTATGATTTACGATAGGTCATTATGGCATCATTTGTTCCATGTAGGTGACCTCACCTAGTGAGCAAAATATGTACCGGCTATATTGATAGTACTGTGGATCTAGATGTCCATTATTACTACAGAATTGCTGATATTCCTGACCCACAACATAGTGTAATAAGTGGCTCTTCTATGCTAAAAGGGAAACTGCAAAGCTCTTTCCTTATTCATGGCAATGCTGTTCATATGGAATAAAATATTTTGTGCCTAACTCTAAGTAGTGCGTTCTCTCAAAGTTTACCACAGATGTATACTATAAAACTGTTTACTCTGTTGGTTTTCTCTTGACGCAGAAGTGATAATTTGGATGTAAATGGTTCCATTTTTATGCATGTAGTTTATATGAAAGTCAGTGGTGGATCCAGAACTTAGGCACTGGGGGCGCCGCAAATAGACACAAGAAAAATATATACACCAAGAAACCTTCTATCTTTCTAAAAATATTTCATTGATATGTATAAAAGGATACATATAATATAAACCATTAAAGAAAACAATTAACTTGGGGGTCACCATAGCATGGGGAGGACAACCCCTCCCTCTGCCTCTGGTTAACATTGCTATACTCATTTTATACTATCTTATATCTTCAAGCTTAGCACATTCAAGTGATTTGGTAATTTATTTTAGGAATGAGAATTTCATGCTATGACTGTGAGTCTTGCTTTCCATTTTCCATCATAGCTGCCCCAAAATTTTGTTCATTGATTGTCAGTGTGCGTACGAATATTGGCTTCCTATATCTGTGTGTGTAGTAGAGAGAGTATTTTATTTGTTTATGAAAAATTACCCCATTAGCATTTCCTGTGAACTGTGGTTTCCTTCTCGATACTACTTGTTTATTTGAGTGTAGATTGTGATATTGAATGTTTTATCTCTGTTTAGCCATTACTATTAATTAATGTCAGTTGAAAACATACCTTTTGTGATAAAGCAATGATTTTTCTTTACTTTTGAGTAAGAGTTAATTGCTGATAGTTTTGCGCCATGTGTTTGTGTTACTCTCATGTAATACAATTAGAATTCCCCTAAAGTTTTCTTTTTATTCTGATATCTATATCTATTTATCTGATTCTCTTGAAACATTGATTGTTCTCCTGCCCCCTTTGAGATCTATAATGCTTCACACAGAAGTGAATAATTTCTTAGTTATACAGTCGTAACTATACATATGATGTTGTGTTTGTTATTCATCATGGATATGCTAGAGTTGCTTTTGTTGATTATATTCAAATTGAAATATTAAGCTGAATGGCTTTTGGCCTATATATGCCACATACTTAATTGAAAAGCATAATTCAATCCAAGTCTGTAAATGCTTCAATGCAGATGCAATCTGCTGCAGCAATAAAAAAATTCCATGTCAGAATTTCTGCTTTTGTTTCACGATTCAATGATCAATCAGCTAAGTAGTTGTTCTCACTGTGGCTGTTATAGATGCAGATTCACAGTGACATTCAATTCATCTCCTGTGTGTAGATCATTTCTGAGAACAGATTTCCTGTTTGTTCCATCCCCATCTCTTGTTCCATAAACCTGTGTTAGTGACACTCTCTCTTAAAAGGCAGGAATAAAACAATTGACTAGTCTGCTCATTTAAGATTAGATCTTTTAGTTTTCGGAGCTATTTTAGTTGGTATTGCTATAAAATCGACAATTTCTTTTTTAATTCTGTGTTTTCTTGATGAATTAGGCTTACCTTATTTTTCAGTTCCACATTTTCTTGGAGTATGAGTTTTCCCTGCAGAAAAGAAAAGTCATCTTTAATTAATTAAGAGTAGTGAAAGTAGTAGTTTTTTGTTCCAAGACTGACCTTTCTATTTAACTCCTGTATTTCATCCATTAAGATTTTGTCCTGCATATGTCAATGTTATGTTAACTGGTATGTCTTGAGCTTCAAGAATTGAGCACCATGTATTAGATAGACAGTGCAAACCTTTTTCATACGTACACCATGAATGCTGATTTCCAATTGGTTCTCTAAATTCTGCAATTCTTTTACTGTCAGACCAGACAGTTCTTCTCCCATGATTTGCCTGTTAATTGTTACCAAAAAAAGTTTGGATTTGAACCTTGTTACCTTCAAATTTTCAACAATTGATAGTTATAAACAAGGCTGGAGAGATGGAACATATCTGTCAGTCTTAAGATATAAAATCATTCATGAGCATGTACCTGATAGCTTAAGTGTGTTAGAGATCCTCCATCTAATAACTTAAGCGTTTTGAATAGTTGGTCCTTGGCAACATCCAAACAGTACGTTTTCCATTGTATTTTCATAATCAATATCTTTGCAAGATACTATTAACACTTCTTGCTGTCTTTTCATGGTTTTTAACTAGGGAGTTAAAATATGTGTCGTAAGCATTTATATTTTCATTGATTTTTTTCCTTCTAAACTCATCAAATTATTAAGTAAGCCTCCACCTTGGTCTTTAACATGTCCACTTTACTGATAATTTACAGGTCTTGAAATGTGGACTAGTTACGAAGTCACAACTAGTGTGTCCGGAAACTATACACAACTTTATCATTTTTTATTGCAGTATGAGTGGCAATGGTAGAACTTTAGATAACTTGTTTAACTTGGTTCATAGCATGTTTCATCATAAGAAAACTAATTGGATTTGAGATATTAAGATACAAGAAAATCAAGAACACCATTGCCTAGTCTATCTGTATAGTCTTATCCCTTGACAAACACCTTATCATGTGTTCATAATTAACATTCTATTCTGCATCTATTACCAACACAGTTCTGTGTTGATAACCTTTCACTGTTCTATGTAGGTAACCTTTCCTGTTTGTGCTCATAACATATTATATGAAACCATGGGAGAGCTGCACTACAAAAGCTAGCCATTGCGATTGTATAGCCAAAGCCTTTTAAACCCCCACACTGGAATCCCATGCTTTTGATGTGGAACTAAGGTTCCATACCTTGGTATTGGATCTTCACATTCCAGCATGCTCTGCAGCTTCGGAGCTCGCAGGTTGTCTA